AACACAGCCAATTATTTACAGGGGCCCAGACCAGAAAGATGAAATCAACAGCATAGCTGAGATGAAGAAACAGATGAGAATGTTTATTTACATACATGCCTAAAGGTTGGAGGTTGAGCCTTGAAAGACAGGTTGCCCCCTTGGCAAATCTTATCACTCCAATTCAAGAATTTTAAAGATTCAGGGTAACAGGAAGGTGCAAATGTCAGAAAAACATATTTTCAAAGTGATTAACCATTTCTCAGCCAGAAAATGTTACATGTGTTTGTAAATGTGGGCTAATGTCTATAAACAGGAAACTTATAGGGGAAAAAACTTATTTAGTTTGATTAAAAACTAGATTCCTGTGGATTTTCACAGGTGCCCAAAATGAAATCTCTCCATACGTCTCCAGAAACCATATAGATCAATAAGGAGAAGAAATTAAACCACCCATAACCCAACCTTGACAGAATGAGATTGAACTTTTGATACATAAAAGGTGCTCAAAGTTTGTTAAACCAATGAATTAAGTAAGTAAGAAAATGTGATTGAGATCCAGATTAAGGCCCTAAACAAGGCGGATCAGATTTCAGGGATTCCAAGAAGCTGCCCCCGGCGCTCACCTTAGAAAACATAAGAAAAATTATTCTAAAAGTGGTTATTGGGTTAACATTTGCTTGCTGTGTTTTTGCTCTTAATGTGCTAAGGTTGTGTTATGGAAACCATTGTTAATATAGTTATAGATCTAGAAAAATAAGAGCTTAGCCCTAGTGTGGTACCAATGAGACGGTTGTTAATTGTCACCCAGGAGTGCTAGGCAGAGGCTGCCTCACCAAAGTCGCAGAGTCAGTGTGGGGTAAACGTCTTAGATAAACTCACCTGACAACTTCTGCAGAAGGATTAATTTTTGTGTTAACAAGGTTACACTTCTGTTGTGACACGCTGTACTGTTGCCCTGTGAGACTGTAACTTTTCTGTTAAGATCACCACAGAAACAGAAAATAGGTTTACATTCACCTGACTTCCATAAAATGTTAACAGGCCCCAAGGCAAGAAGATAACGTACAAGACCGTCATAAATAAAGAAGTATGCAGAAAACACCCTGGTTTCGTGAAGGACAGGCTGATGTAATATTAAACTATCCTCCCCTCAGAAATGTACTAACTTAGGGTATAAAAACTACGGTAAAAAATAAAGCATGGCCAGACTCTGCCAGACTGCTGCACCCGCCGTCTGGCCTCTCTCTCTTTCTCTCTCTCCCTCGCAGACTTGGCCCTATCAAGGCTGGTCTCACGTGTCCTCTCTCTCGCCGACGCTGTTCATCCCGAGGGTATCCCCTGGATCCTGCCGAGGCTGGACCCCAGCACAACAGTACCCACCAGCACCCGGTAAGGAAATTATAGCTTCCCCGGTAACTCAGATGATAAACAATCCACCTGCAATGCGGGAGGCCTGGGTTGGATCCCTGGGTTGGGAAGATCCCCTGGAGAAGGGAATGGCTACCCAATCCAGTACTCTGGCCTGGAGAATTCCATGGACAGAGGAGCCTGTCAGGCTACAGTCCATGGGTTGCTAAGAGTGGGACAACTGAGCGACTTTCACTTTTACCAACACCTAGCACAATGCCTTGCACAGTGTAGCAGCTTCACAGACATTTGTTGCATGCATTGAAGTCATGATCTTTGCCTCTGGAACTCACTGATAAGAGTATCAAGGCCTTTAATTCCATAAACACCCAGTCTGAGTCCAGGGGTCTACAGGGATAGCAGTGGGCCTCAAAGGAGGGACATGCTCTTGAGAAGGCACTTAGCTTCATTCAAGGTCATGCTCAGTCGTTTCAGTTGTGTCCAACTCTTGGCGACCCCATGGACTGTAGCCCACCAGGCTTCCCTGTCCATTGGGACTCTCCAGGCAAGAATACTGGAGTGGGTTGCCATGCCTTCCTCCAGGAGATCTTCCCAACCTAGGGATAGAACCCACATCTCTTATGTCTCCTGCATTGGCAGGCAGGGTCTTCACCATTAGTGCCATCAAGATCAGGTTTCTCCAAACCATCAGAATCTCTATTTCTACCTCCTGACTGCTACCAATGGCTGTCAATACCATGGAGACACAGCATCTGTGGAGAGAGTGGATCCTTTCTCATTGACATCTGGGGAGGTACGCTGTTCTCGTTCAGCTTTGAGCAATGAATGCACGAGAAGCTTCATTAGACCTCTGAAACTGACAAGGGCTCATAACCTTGAGGTTGGCTGAGCCTGAGACCGCTATGCCTGTTCATTTCTGCCCCTGGACCAAAGCAGGCCTCTTGAATCACCAGTCTCACCTGCTCCCATTCCCAAACAAATGTGGGTTTTCTCATCCCCGCTGCTGACCTCCCTCCTGCCCTGTTCATGCTGTTATCTGGTACCCTTGTCCCTTCCAATTAGATTCCTCACCCTCCTCAGCACCCTAACCTGTTCGTGCCGTATGTCCTTGTTCATATGTCTCCTCCTATCTGGCATGCTCTTCTTGCCTCTCTTATTCACCTGAAAAAAACATTCTTTCCTCTATGAAGACTGAGCTTAAGCATGAATTCTTCTACGAAGGTGTTTTTTGCTTCCCCTCACATCATGTCTTCCAAGATTTTCTTCACGTTAAATGTTGAATGCAAAGCAATCAGATGACACTGGTTCTTTGAAAAAAAAAAATGAATACAATCTTAGGCAAAGTAACAAAGCCACAGTATCAAGAAAGGAGGTAAAAATCCTCTTAGTATTCTGGTTTATTCAGATTACACACAGAGACAGTGATCTTCAAGTGCAGTCCATGGACTCCATGTACAGTCCAAGGAATCCCTAAAATCCTTTCAGGAGATTCTTGAAGTCAAAACTACTTCCATAATAGTATTAAGACTTTATTTGAGCATCAGTGATAAGAACACACACACATACACACATACCAGTGGTTGGCCAAGAAATAATCACCACCTCCCAGCATTCCCCATTATTAGAAAGCAATAAACACTCCAACAAAAAAGGCATATCAGTTTGCCTGGATTATCATTCTTCCATTCAACAAATGCTTAAAGTTCACCACTTGGGCAGCAGGCACACAGCTGGCCCAGAAGATTTTGCACCGACCAGCATATGGCCCCTGCCCTCAAGGGGTTCACTCTCAGAAAGGAAACAATTACATCAAGAGATGGCTGCAGAATCGTCTCTTCAGTCCACAGTGTCAACCACACAGAAGAGCGTGGGACTTCCTGTGCCATTCCGAGCCTTTGGTGAAACTGCCCGTCTGCCAGGCACCCCCTGCCACTCCCTCACCCCAAGTTAGTAAAGGCGGACTGCCTGTGGTCCCCTCCTCTGACAGCAGGTTTCCCACTGAAGCAGATCCCACCTGGAAGAGAGATGCCTCAACTCTCATGCAAGTTCTGAAATTTTATCTTTACCTAGGACCATACATTTCAATTAATGAATTAAAACATGAAAGAATGATCTCTCCTGGCAGCTTTCTGTCTGCCTGCCTCTAACCCTCAACATCGAACATGATAGCACACAGTAGAGAACATATACCAGAGCTCTGATGTATTTACTTCATGATCTGCTCATCAGCTGAGCGCACATGGGTGTATCTGAGTCACTGTAAGTCACGTGACTGCAAGCTCATCCTCTGGCTGGGAGTCCTCGGGGGACACTCACCACCGGCGTGGTCGCTCCTTGCATCTTCTGGCTGCTCTGCCCACTCCAGCCGGTCACCCTGATGTTCCCTGCTCGCCCTCCCCCCTGCCTCACTCTCACCCTCCTTTCCCTCTGCCCCTACTGCTGTCCTTCCCCTCTTAAATCTAGAGGGTTTGGTACATTCACAGATCCAACTTAGTCAATTTGTGACCTTGAAAGGGAGCTCAATCTCTTGAAAAGGAGCTCCCTTCTCCCTGGCTCCCCAGGCTGGGTCCTGGGTGAAGCACTTGGCATACATTAGGGCTTATGACTGCTCACTGCGGCCCCGTGAGGTAGGTATGGTCATTACTGCCTGGATAGATGAGGAAACCGGGACTGAAGGAGGCGAGGTAAGTTACCCGAGAGCACTGTGTGTAGAGTTGGGTCTGTCTTCTCCACAGACTTCAGGCTCACGACGACCCTCACGACTGCTTCCTTGCTCCTCCCTCTCCTTCTAAGATGGAGCCAAAGTAGGCAAGAGCTGGTCACACAGATCACGGGTTCACTGCAGCCTGAACACATCAGCGTCTACTGCAGATGCCCTGGCGTTTTTCGTTTCGACACTCTGAGACACGACAGATCCCACGAAGACAAAGACCAGGGCTTCTGTCTCTCTGGGCTGGGAGGATCGGTGTCAGGAGGAGCAGCTGCTGGGCAGACCGCCGGGCACAGTGCAACTTTGAGGGCTCAGGGCCTGGGGTGACAAGCAGGGACAGGACAAGCCCACAGAGAACTAAGAGCTGATGTTGAGGGAGCCCGAGAGATGCGTGAGCACCACGAGGGCGTCAGAGCCGGCTTCCTCAGGAGGACATTTACTGGCCCCACCACATACCATGTCCTGCATCAGGCTCTTTGATTTCATCTTATCTAATCCTAACGAAGGAAGAACTGGACTTGAAGCCAATACCCTTGAAAAGCCACCGTGCTGAGCTTCAAATCTAGATCAGCCTGATTGTAAAGCCTATGCCCTGTCCTCTGCACAGGCCGCTGTGTGAGGGGACACCAGCTCTGCCTCTCAAAGGATGATGTCCAGAGTAAATGAGTCACTTTCAGAGCAAAGTGAGAAAACACCTTCTCCCCAAAGCTCACCTCATCACCAGCTAGAAAAGCAAATGTGAAGGACGCTGGGGACACCAATGTGGCAGGAAGCGCAGTCTGAGCAAATGACAAGCTTCTCCTATAGCTGATTTCCTGCTCCCAGCCAACCAGGCCAATAGATATCCCAGCATGGCTGCTGCTGCTGCCAGGGCCAGGCGAAGCGAGGGCTCTCCATGTCAGCGTCGCCAAGTCAGCTGCACTCTTTACACCCTGGAGTCTCAGTTTTGTTTTTTATACTGTAAGACAGAGCGATCATTAGGAGTGGGTGAGGGAAACCAGAAGGGAAGGGAGGACCCGGGAAATCCTGATAACTGTGGTCACTAGGCCTCAGTCGTCTCCTGCAGGGGCTTCATAGAGGCGGTAACACCTTGTCAGCAGGCACCAGGCGGTCAAGTCTCTAGTTGGTACCCACGGAAAAGGAAACTGATGGAGTTAGGGAGAGAGGACAAGAATGACACCAGGAACACTGGAACTGAAAACTGTGGTCGGTCCAGCCTTCTCTTCAAGCTGACTCTTATTCAGAGGGGAGAAAAGAATCTCAGGTTCTAGAAGGAAACATTCAGAAACCATCTGGTCTTATCCCTGAGTTTCAAAAACAAATCCTAGACCCCACACCTGGAGGATCTGATTCAGAAGGACAGGAAGGTGGGGTGTGCTCCAGCTCTCAGGCTGTTCTAATACCGGTGTGAGGACCAGCAAGCCTGTCTATATTCTGACTCCCTTCCTGCCGCCACCAAAACAGATACTTGAATGTTTCCTCAGTAATGCGGCCTCACCCAGCCAGCTTTCCTCTCTGAGCCGTCACAAGGCTGCTGTCGGTTTTGGCACTATTATTGCCTGGAAGACTCCTCTCTTCCGTCTTCCTGTAGCCCCATCTTAGCTTATTCAGTACTGTTTGCCTTTAGGGACTGAGGATGTGCACCCCTTTGCAGAAACTGCAACCGGAAGGGCATGTGCCATCCCCTTTAGTCTTCTGGAGGAGGGGAGCTGCTGGTCAGGGGCGGGAAACACTCATTAGTCTCAACTGTGGGGCTGGGGCGACCCCTAGTGGTCACGGAGATTATAGCGCTCAACTCCCAACTTGCAGGTGAAAACAGGAGCCAAGGGCTTACTTTGTTCAGGATCCAGTCGGCATCTTCAATGGCTCTCTTAATAATCTGCTGGATCCTGTCAGGGTTGTCCTCATCCGAATGAACCCGGAAACTCTGGGGGTTTAAGTATAAGACACAATGACTTGGCAAAAATTAGGACTGGCAGCTTCAGAGCTCCCGTCAAGGGCCAGGCACGTGGTGGGCATGGGTACTTGGCATTGCTCTTACTCTTCCACACACAGTTGTGTGTTTTTTTCCCACACACAGTTACGACGATCCTGCCCTGAGGTGAGCAAACAGGCTCCAAAACTCTAACTCGAAGCTAGGCAATAGCAGCAGCATCTGAATCCTGGACTGTCTGACTACACAGCCTGTGCTCCTACCAGCAGGGCAGCCGTGAAAGGGAAGACTGGCCCCGAGTCACCCCCGAATCAAGCTAGGTCCAAAGGTTATCAGGCAGCAGGGGCCTAAGGGACGCTTCCATCTCTCTGCTGCTCCCAGGAAGCCTACTGTCAGCAGGCTGAGCTCGCTGCATGCCTTCTCCCTGGGGAAGAACAGAGTTTCTCTTGGCCCTTGTTGGAAAGTCAGGAAGGGAAGGAAGGGGAATGGGGATGGGGGCTCTGGAAAATCCAGCCAGGCCCAAAGTGGCGCAGTGTGGGTCTGCTGTTTGCCTTGGCCAGATGTTCCCCTTGGCCAGATGTTCCCCTTTGAGTAGCAACATGAGACTCAGGTCCACTGTGTGGCACTCGTGGCCCTTCAAAAGAACTGGTGACTTCCTCTGACCTGCCACTCTCAACCCCACATGTCCTCCTACTTATCTTCAGGAGCAACTCAAATGCTCACCTCCAGGAAATCCTCTCCGATTCCCTCAGACAGTTCATTGCTCCTTCTCCATATTTCCACAGCTCTGTTGCTGCCTTTTTTTTTTTACTTTCCACATCATATTTGTATACATTTTAGTTTTTAACTTTTTATTTGGAAATAATTTCTAATCTACAGAAAAGCTGTAAGAATAATATGAAAGAATTCCCTACTGGAAACACCAACTGTTAATATTTTGCCACATTTGCTTTATAATTCTCTATGTGGGTTTGTATAAAAATTTGAGAAATCATTTAAAGGTTGCAGGTATCATGCCCTTCATCCTTGAATACTTCAGACGTGTAAATACAAGCATTCTCGTACTTGACCACAGTAATCAAAATGAGAAACACTGACATAATACTATTATCTAACCTACAGTTCATATTTCAACTTCATGAATTTCCCAGTAATCTTCTTTATCATCGTTTTTTCTGGTCCGGGATCCAATCTGGGATCACTCCTGACACTTGTCATGTCTCTTTAGTCCCCTTTAAATCAGAGTAGCCTTCTGCCTTTGTGTTCCATGACACTGACGTGTTTGGTGTGCACAGGCCATTAAGTGGTAGATGGTCACTTAGTCTGGGTTTACCTAATGTTTCCTCATGATTAAATTCAGGTTGTGCATTATTGGCAGAAATGCCTGTCAAAATGATGTTATGTCTCACACTCAATTTTAATTATCCATTCAGCTGTCTTATTCAAGCCTTGGCACAGAGTTGGTGTGCCCAGATGATGCATTCTGTTTCCTAAACAGAAACTAGAGAGGAGCTGGGCTGGCCAGCACCGCTTTCCGGTAGCTCTTACTCAAATGCCACCACCCCACACCATCACCACTTAAAAGACCAGCCCTGCCCACTGCCACTGGCTCCCAACCCTGTGATGGCCCCACCACAGGAAGCCCCACCCCCACCCCAAGCCCAGCGTACCCTGCTCCCACCTGCCTGATGGCATGCTTATAATGCTCCTGGATGCCCGCGGTTGGCAGCTGCCGGCAACAGCGCAGCAGGTATCGGTAGAGCTGCAGCGGCGTCTGGACCAGCTCTGCCCCCGGTAGTGGGGCCATCCGCCAGACCCCAGTCCCTGGAAAACACAGAGCATCACTTCTAGGCATCCAGCCAATACTTTGCCCTGGCCCCCAGTTTCCAGCACTCTGGGAAGCAGGCATATTTGATCCAGTGTGGATGGAGGCCAGATCCCCATGGAACCGAGCCCCTGAGCTCAGGCTGGGTATCAGCCCTGCAGAAGGCTCAGCCCCGAGCAGGTCCACAAGGACAAAGGTGGGAGGCATGGCCGCATCCTGTGGTCTTTCTTCTGGAGACTGACCACAAGCAAGAAGACCCTGCATCACAATCATGGAGAAACCAGCTGACTTCAGGAGGATGGAGCAGAGAGTGGAGATGCCCAGAGGTCTGAGCCTTGCTAGTCAAAGTGTGGTCCTAGACAGGCAGCACTGACATCACCAGCAGCTAATGAGAAACCCAATCCCACCCAAAAACAACCAGGCCTGCAATTTAACAAGATGCGCACAGGATCCTGCCTGGACCACGACCACAGCATCTTGCCTGGAGTCCCTGCCTGAAGCCTGTCATTCCCCAGCCGTCGCCACACTGACACCAGGATGAGCTCTGGAACCAATGTGCTGGGCTCACCCCACTGTCAGATGCAAGGATCTTCTCCCAGATCCCCTGAGCCATCAAGTAGATCACCTCTTATGCCTATGCACACACGGCCCCCTTAGCCTGGAGCTCCCTTCCCCATCTCCTCCCCCGAGACACCCGTGCTTGTCCTTTCAGGGCCAGCTCGGTGTTGCTTCCTCCGGGAAGCCCTTCAGGACTGTCCCTTGCTTGGTGTGTGTGTGAGGGGGCTACAGTGCCCTGTTTCTGAAGCTGTTATAGCACTTCCCACACTGCTGGGGACTCACCTGCTGCCGCCAGGCCTCCAGAGCCTGGCCCGGGCCCCAACACTTCACTTTGTGCCCTCTTTGTTGAACTGGACTGAATAGAATCTGTTATCTCCTCTGCACAGATTTCCCCTCTTAAAGAGACGCTCACTGTGTTCCAAATGGAAGAGCTAGAAGACCAAGATTAAGTGGTTGGCCTTGGTTTAAAAGTAACATAAAAAAGACAGACAACCTGCACCTCCTCTAAAAAATAAAGAACCAGGATAGGAAATCTAATCTATCTTAAACTAGGAGAGGAAACTTACTAAGGCGCTAAACTAGGAGAGGAAAGTAACGAAGAGCTAAACTAGGAGAGGAAACTTACTAAGAAGCTAGTTTCAGAGGCTCTTTCATTCCATTTGCAGCATATTATCTTCCTGGTAACAATGTCTGTCCGTCTCCACAGCTAAATTTGCCAACCGCCTCTCACTCTCACACTGGGGCGGGCTCGTGGCCGCTGACCCCCATCACCCATCTTCCCACCTGGTAACATCTGGGGCTGAGGCACTGGGTATCCACCCTTCCAGGTCTCCGCCCCCAAGGTCTGGGCAGGGCTCCACTCCAGGCCTGACCATTCAGAGCCCTTCATCTACATGGCCACTGGGATTGGCTCACAGACGGGCACGTGACAAGCTGGTCCAACCAGAGCAGATCTCACTGCCTCTGCAGGGGTGCTCCACTCTAGACTTGATGCTGAGAGGACTTCACCCTCAAAGAAGCCATCTTGCCTCCTCTAGAAGCCTGAGACTGAAACGACAGGGCAGATGGCAGAGCTGAGACCCAGAGTGACACCAGGTGTGAAGAAGTCACCTGAGCCCAAACACCATGTACCTGAAGGTAGTCCCACCCCTAGATTTGGGTTTGTTGTTTTGTCACTTGCAACCAAGAGAGTCCTGACTGATGGAGAGATCCAGCCCTCCCACATTCTGCGTCCTCAGTGAGCTCCGATGGCTCCAGCTCTAAGGAACACTGCAAACAGGGGAGGGCGCAACCTGCCAGGCCAACTAGCCACACTTCAGCGCAGCAGAGAGGGCAACCACATATGGTGGGGCAAAGGCTCTCAAGGGCCACCCACAGAAGACATATCATCGAAATCCCCACCTGATGGGCAGGGCAGACTCCCTGGACAGGCTTCCCCAAACTATATAAAGTGCTAATCAAACATTGTAAAATGCTAGTCGTGTAACAGATGGTTACCATCTGCAGTCTTTAAAATTAACACTTGGAGAGAATGCAACTTTGTTTAAAAACTGAATACTTAGAAACCAACCCAGCAAGTATGGGCGGGAGATTATTTTCAGCTCAATTATAATACTTAGTCATTCTCATAATAACGAGCAGAGAATGCCTGTGTGGGTCCACTCAGAAGAGTTTAAAATGCTTTAATTTAATTTAAAGCATGGGTTTGCTATTTAAAGTGCAAGGAACTTCATATCACCATTGCTAAACCTGTAGTCAAACCCTGTGGCTAGGAACGCTTACTTCTCCTGCTCTTTGAATCTGACCTTAGCCTCTATCTTGGCTCCCTGCCTCATCAGAGACACCTCTGTCTTCCCAAAGCCATCACAGAGACAGCCCACCTTCTCCTCAATCCCCACACCACTGGTCTGTGTGTGTGTGTGCACGTTAGTCCCTCAGTCGTGTCCAACTCTGTGACCCCATGGACTATAGCCAGCCAGGCTCCTGTGTATGGAATTCTCCAGGCAGGAATACTGAAGTGGGTAGCCATTCCCTTCTCCAGGGGATCTTCTTGACCTAGGGATCGAACCCAGGTCTCCTGCATTGCAGGAAGATTCTTTACTACTGAGCCACCAGGGAAGCCCACCACTGGTCTCTAAATCCTAACAAATTCTACCTCTGAACACCCCCTCAAATCTGTTCCCTCCTATTTCCGCTGCATAGGCTTGGCTCAGACTCTTATCACATCTCAGGCAGACACCTGCAAGAGTTCCCAACAATCTACTGTCTGCCAATTTATTCTGCAATCAACAGCCAGGGTGAATCTTTCCAAACACACATCACAGCAAGTCATGCTCCTGCTTAAAGCCCCTGATGTCCACTCCAGCCCCATCACTCATGACAACTTTTCCAAAAACATGGGACAAAGATGAAAATATTTTAAGCAGTATATGGACCAACATCTTTTTATTGTCATGCTTTGATATTTATTTTCATGTGTAATGAGAAAAAACTCCATAATCTCATGGGTATTACAGCTTAAAACAGTTTAAAAAATGAATGGGCAGAAAAGTGATTTTTAAAAATGTATCAAGCAAGTGAGAATGCAGTTGAAAATCTGGATATGCCAAGTTATGAACGTGGTACTGAACTTTGAAAAAGCACTGGTCTATAGAATAAATTCCATACTGCCTTCCTCCCAGACCGGCTCTTGATCTGGCCCCTTTCCACCACCCCTCAACACATCACCCACGACTCGCTGAGTCCAGGCAAACGTGAGCTCACACGGCACCCTGCAGACAGCCTGTCACGAAGAACCGGACAGGGCTGAGCGACCCAGCACACTGAGCACAGCCCCTGGGCACGGACCCCGTGAGCATCTGCCACCCCTGGAAACAGGGTCCTGAGGAGCGTTACAAAGAGCCGGAAAAATGAGTTCATGCACCGCTACGTGGGTCTGAATCAGCCTCTTCCTGCTTTGAGCTTTTCTGTAAGATCCTGTTGCCTGACCTTCCAGAAATGTCTAGATCCTTGCCCAGTTCTCCAGCTTTTCCCTTGATTCTCAGAGCTTCTAACACTCTTTCAATAATTTCCTTTTGGTTAATTCCTCCTACCCCTCTTACCCCCACATGGAATGAGACTCACTTCCTTATCTGTTTGCCCACGCAGTCACCCTCTGCTTTCTTGTCCGTCTCCCTGCCTAGCCAAACCCCACGAGGGCAAGGACTGTGTCAGGCCCTCCACCTCGGTGCCTCTGCCCAGGACAGCCCTGGGCACCCAGTGGACTCCTCCATCAGTGCTTGCTGACTGAAGAACCTCAAAATCCAAGCACTCCCCAAGCTTGAGAAAACAGCAGCTCAGCCTCCTCCCTGCCTTCTTGATCCAAAGGTAAGAGATGGTCCTGTGCTCCCGCCCACTGTAAAGTGAGGACCGCTGCCTTCCGCACGATCCTCCGTGCCTCGGTACTTCTGGGCATCACCTCTGGCAGAAACACCCTACTTTCCCACCCAGATACTTCAGGCTTCTTCCAGCTTCCAGCTCATCGGCAGGAACTCTCGCAGGCTACCGACGCCGCCTACTTCACTGAGTCTAGAGAGGCCCTCAGACCAGAGTATCCTCAACTCCCCTCCACCACAAAATCCACCTTCACCTGAGACCCAACCAAGACGCTAAGCATGGTGCAGGTTTTACAACTACCCTCTGATGAAAAGCATTATTGTCCCCACTTTGCAGGTGTGGAAACTGAGGCTGAACAGTGGGCTGACATGCCCACAAACACACAACCAGTGAGCGGTGGAGCTGGGTTGTGGGCTCTGGCTCCAGCGCCCCAACGTCCCTAAGTTCTTGGACAAAAGGGGGCCATTCCTTTTCCAAGGACTCCTTAGGCCTGGATTAACCCAACACCCTTATCAACCATTGCCTCTTCAATCCCTCCCTATGCTCAGCCAGACTGAGCCTCTGAAAACAAAACTCTCATCTTTGAGTCCACTGCTTGATATCTTTACATGGCATCCACAGAACAAACCCAAGGGTCTTGAGTATGTGTATATTTGTGGTGGAGTGGGGTGTTGAAGATGTTCCCCAATCAACCCCCTATCTCTACCCCATCTGCAACCAAATCCCCACACACTCTCCACTCTTCCCAGCTCTGCCTCCTCTGTCCCTCCCACAGTGCCTGGCATGCAGTGGCTACTCAACAGAGGGGTGTCGAGAGTGAATCCTCTCTCTCCCTTACAACTGTCAGGCCATTTTTCTGCCCCCGAGTACTGACTGAGTAGAACTGTGAAGCATGTGGGCCCCAAACCATGGTAAGGCTGATGTGAGGATTAAATAAGAGACACATGTGCCTGGTTTATGACAGTGACTCATGGAATATGACCTCCCTCTCCCAGGCCCTGCTCTAACCCTGGAGGAGCAGTAAAAGAAAAAAGAGTAAGTCAAGATGCCCTTTTCACGCTTCTATCTGAAAGAACCTGCCTGCCAATGCAGGAGACACAAGAGATGCGGGTTCAATCCCTGGGCTGGGAAGATCCCCTCGATGACAAAAGAGCAACCCACTCCAGTTTTCTTGTCTGAAAAATTCCATGGATAAGAGGAGCCTGGTGGGCCACAGTCCATGAGGTTGCCAAGAGTTGGACACGACTGAGCACACATGTCCACAATAGGAATGGCCTGCTAAAGGAAGCCTTTGATGCAAAGTGAGATCAGGAGAGATTTGTGGGTTTCATCGACTCAGTAAGCTCTCTATACATCAGAAAGGAAGAAAAAAATAGACCTTTTTTTCCTTTTAAATCAAACTACAGATCAGGTGAAATTTATTTAGCTTTTTCCCAAATCAGAAGTGAGTTCTGGTTACTCATCCTACAGCCTTTAATGAATTAGAAACTTACAAAAACACCCGAAGTAGCAGGCTCATGGGAAAAGGTGTCAACTTGAATGAATAGAAATAGTGCAAAGTAGGTCACCCTTCAAAATCAGGATGCCAGAGCCCTGAACGCGACCTCCACACACCGGGTGTCAAAAAATCTCTTCTTACTGGCGGGGAGTCACCCAGTTTTTCTCCCTCAACTCCTCCCTCTCAGCAGTGCACTGAAGTCCTTTCACTTCGGAGTTGAGATGTGCTCTGGAAAATTTTACTCACTGTTCTGAGCTCTGCCTTTTGGAGCTAAAGTCTCCCTAACCTACTGCCAAGTCCAGACTGTCAGTATTCAAGGTCAGTTATCCCAGACCCCCAGCCTTATCTTTTCTGAGATAAGCATGCTAAAAGTGCTGTAACCCCCATCTCACCCACCCTCCTCTCTCTGGACACACACCCCCATTATCCATCTCACTCTTAAACATACTCCAGAGGGAAAAACCACAGTTTGCTTGTGTTCTGACCAGCTCCATGGGCACTGGAGCTCATGGGGGCAATTCCCAGCTCCTCTACAGGGGAATCCAAGGAATGCAACCCAGACTGCCTTCTCTGCTCCAGCCCTCATATGGCCCTGGCATTTGACTCAAAGGAACTTTTTTCCTGTGAACTATGCTTAAGTCTATTTCCCAATCTTGTCTTTTATTAATTCAGTCCAGAGTCACAATCTGCCACAATCTCTGGGGTACCAGATCCTGGCTGTCATTCAGTTCAGTTCACCACAACGAAAGCAAAGAAGCGACCACATACGAATCACAAGTGGGGTAAAGGAGGCAGTAACTTCAAGAAGCTCCGCAGCCACCCCTGCGAGGCCGCTCGGGGCCTCTAGCCCGTGTGGCTCTGGGCTCAGCCCTCGGGGCACAGAGGTGAGCGCCTGGCAGGTTCCCTGGCTCTCCCACCCTGAGCCTCTGCACGGCTGACGGCGAGTCTTACCACCTGCCATTCAGCGAGTGACTAGCATGTGCCGGGGGGGTGCTGAGAGCTTTACATGTGTTCTCTCATGTACCCTCAGAACGGCCTTATGGACTGGGTATCACTAGCCCCATTTTACAGACAGGGAAACTGCAACTCTAGATGTAAGCAACTTGCTAGAGGCCATATAGCTAGTACACGGTCAGGTGAGGAATCAAACCTAGGCCTATTTTATTCCAAAGTCCATGCCCTTACCTGCTCCTAACACCACCTATGTCCATATCTGAGACACTCACAGATGTTGTCCAGATCAGGGCTAAGGACCCCAACTGAGAACTCTCCCCAGGGCTCGTCAAGACTAGGTCCCAGCATCCATGGAAGCACTTGACTATACTATGTCCAGTTCCTGTTTTTCGACCTTCTCCACAAACCCTTGTTCCATGCTTTTCAGAAGCCCAAGAACCCCATCTATGGCTTCCCCCTGCATACAGACGAAAACACAAGTCCCAAGACTAATGTCACTTACACAACCAAAGGAGTAACCAGAGATACCAAAACAAAACAAAAAAGCTCCTAGGAAACTCTGAAGAGTTTATGAACTCTTCAAAAGAGGATGACAGAATACAGGAGAATGAGACAGAATAAAGAAAAAGAATGAAAATAAAGTCACAAAGGGAATTTCCTGGGAGCCGCACGGTATCACCATCAAAGATGCTGAAAAACAGGGCTTCAGCCCCGTTTAACCCCACTGTCTCTTTCCCTAACCTGTGCCCTGACAAAAAGACACCTAAAAATAAATGGGGGAAAAAGCCATACATTAAAAAAGAGAGAACAGAACTACAGAAAATAATCAGAAATTATGCTCCACTGAGCACAGATACAAGCTAAATTAAGCCTGAACAACCCATTGTTTAAATATGCAATTATTCTTCGGGATGAGGAAAGTCACAATACAGGAACAGAATGGTTCTGCTCCCCCCAGTTGCAGGGCTCCAGCTTGCATGCACGCTCTCTTAAGTTAGAAACGGAACAACCCTTGCTCTTCCAGTGTCTCTTCACATGGTCAAGGCTCCAATCCCATGTTCCACCCTTGAGCCTTGCAGCCTCTGTAGACACTACCTCTGTTTCCAGCTTTGGAACAATGCCTCCTAATCAGACTCTCTCCTTCCAGTCCGGCCCCCACAGTGCCACCCACGGACACATCCTACAAAAAACATACTCTTCACCAGCCTCTGTGGAATGTTCTTTATCCAACTCTGGTTGGATGAAGTCTGTTTCCATCTTCTCTCATGAAACTCACCTTCTCTGATCTTCTGCCTCCTCCTCTATAAACTGGACAACAGAATATGTACCTCACTGGGGGATTTGCAAAGATCACACAAATTCACATCAGTACGGTGCCTAGGCCAGGGGCTGGCACCGTTGGATACTTGGACATCTTACCCTTTCCTACTCTACCCGGCTACCTGTGATCCTAGATGTCTGTGAGCTTCTGGGGGACAGACTCTACTGTATTAGTCACCCCTCCATAGTCAACAGTGCCTGGGAACATAAAATCTCAATAAAAGTGTACTAATGGAGACTCACTTACCAGAGAGGAACTAAAGGCAGGAGGAGGGGACTGTCCTGAAGACATGAAGCCAGCAGGTGGCAGAGCCAGGTCTCAAACTCGGGTCCTCGGGCTCTGAATCCTCAGCTCTATTACATGTGCTGTCTCAAAGGATCTTGAACAGCTCATTTGTAGGCCCAGACCACCCTGGGCCTTCATGTGTTAGAGGTGAACCTGGTGAGGTCATCCCCCAAAAGCAAACCAGAAACATCATCCAAAAGTTAAACACGCTGGTTGCAGAGCAGAGCCACTAGCAACCTGAGCTGAATCTAGTGATATCAGACTGCTTTATGCCAATGGCTTTGCCCACACAGGCCACCACAGTCTACTCAAGGGTCAAAGAAGGGAACTGGCACAGCTACCAGGCATCAGATACTGGGCTGGGTATTTCAAAGGGGCTACTTAAACTGAGGCTCAAGGTCACACAGAAGAACCTGCTGAGAGCCACAGCTGGGCTTCTCTCTTCTTAACTCAAGCTGTTTCTACACACACCAGGGCGTGTCTCCAAGGGCTCCTAGTTTACCGTTTTCCTCTCCTGCTCCTCCTTCTGGCCTCCTTGCTGGCCTTCACATACCTAACCGCTCTTCAGGGCACCCACGTGGCTCACCCACCTGTGTATCCAGGTCACACTTGAGACCTTCTCGGACCACACTGCAGTCCCTCCTTCTTTGCTCCACAGCATTTTCCACCACCATATATATTTAATTATTTCTCTTTGTATTCATCCCCCCTTTGGAGTGTAAGCTCCACAAGAGCAGGGAGTTAATTTTGTTCATGGCTGTGTCCTGAGCACTGTGTGTGTGCTGAAACAGTCATCAAGCACCGATGAAGTGCTAGATGCTGGAGTTACAGAAACAATCAAGGTGACCCTTCACCCCAAGAAATTTACACATTAACAGAGGATAATAAAATAAAAAAAAAACAGTATTAGCTAAATACTACAGATGGTGCAGGCTTCTCCAGTGGCTCAGACAGTAAAGAATCTACCTGTAATGCAGGCCATCCAGGTTCAATCCCTGGATTGGGAAGATCCCCTGGAGGACAGCATGGCAACCCACTCCAGTATTCTTGCCTGGAGAATCCCACGGACGGGGAGCCTGCAGGATACAGTCCATGGGGTCACAAAGAACTGGGCATACTGAATGAAGCGACTGGGCATGCCCAGCTAGCTAAGAATCCCCCTGCCAATGCTGGAGACTCAAGAAATGTGGGTGAGATCTCGGTGTTGGGAAGAGCCCCTGGAGAAGGAAATGGCAACCCACTCCAGTACTCTTGCCTGGAAAATTCCGTGGACAGAGCTGCCTGGTGGGTTACAGTCCATGAGGTCGCAAAGAGTGGGACACGACTGAGCACGCACACACACACCACAAAGTGGAATTCATGTCCGGAGGGTCTGGCACACGGGGTCCCTCACCCAGTCAAGGGTCAGAGAAGGTTTCTTGAGAAAGGGACATTAAATCTGAGGGACAAGGAGAGTGTGGCTGGGTGAGGGCAGAGAGAGAGGCCTGAGCCCTGTGACTAAACTAAAAAGACACTGAGATGTTCACTTTAAGGGGATGAACTGTATGCCGTGTAAAAACAAACAAAAGGCAAGATTAACTCCCAAGGGCTCAGGAGTTCCGGCCACGGACTCGATCTGTTAGGCAGAAGAGTTGATGAAGGTGACTCGAGGTAAGCCGCTCACAGGGTGCTGCGAGCACTCGGGCCGCGCAGGGGCCATGCTTGCTTTTAAAAATTGGCAAACCGAGGCCCGACAGGTACATTTCACAGCAGGCCCGGCGCCCGCAGACCCCTGGGCTCCTCGTGGGGCCCCCAAGTCCCCTTCCCGACGTCCCGGGCCTTCTCCCCCGACCCGCGGCCGTCAGCCAGCCCCGCGAGGCCTGCGGCGTGTACATGGAGCCGCACTCCGGAGGACACGGCTCTCTGGAGGCCAGAGGGTCGAGAGAGCGGCGCTGAGTCTTCCACAGGCCGCGCCAGGTCGAGTACACCCCGAGGCCTCCTAACTGCAGTCCATCCCTGCCGCCCCAGGTGGCTCGGATCCCCGCGCGACCGCCCACACTCCCGCCCTCGGCCTGCGCAGAGCCGCTCACCCGCCTCCGCTGGGGAACATCCGCCTCGGACGCGGCGGCCACGAGTGCGCCTGCGCCCCGCGGCCGCTGAAGCACCGCCCCCGCCAGGCGACTGTGCGCGGAGCGCCCTCTTTCGGGCGCGCGTGGGACTTGGCGTCTGTTAATGAGGGAGCTGTATTGCGTGCCCTTTCCCCTGATCGGACCCACCCTCTTGAAAAAAGAAAGCTGTCCAACTAACAGCCTTCTTCTCGGAGAAGGAAGTAGCAACCCACTCCAGGATTCTTGCAGGAGAGCCCATGGACAGAGGAGCCTGGCGGGCTACCGTCCATGGGGTCTCAAAGAGTTGGACAGTTGTCTGAGCAACAGCCTTCTTGAAACACCCACTGTTCCTTTTAGCTTTTGCCACCTCAGAGACAGGGCTCCCCCCATTTTCCTGAATATGAATTGCTACTAAAATATGAGGAGTGCTCAAGATCTGTGAAAAGGCTTGCAGGAGGACTTTTCCTAAGCCACTCGTGTTGATGACGGAATTATATTTGGATGGGAAGCTGCGTATTGAGTCATTTCTTCAAATTACAGTCCCATAACACCTGTCAAAAGAATAAATATGACAGTAATAGTCATGCTTCCTTTCAGACCCATCTATAATTATAATTGAGGAAAAGAATACAGAATTTAAACTCATAGCGACTGCCAGTATCTTTCTTTGAAAATGAAATAATGCTGTTTTATTAAATAGGCTCTCCCTGCTCTCTAATGTTTAGAGCTAAAGTGCTTCTCTGAATTGATTTAAATACAAGTTTTATATCCTGAAAGAAATAAAGATGAGTCTTTATCTTAAGACAAACCCGCTGTTCAATGATGCTGCTGATCTTCTCTCAGCTGATGCCGAAAAGGGAGTTAGGTTGTTAGTGGGTAATATTGCTTCTGTTCACATCTCCCTTCTCTAGGGCTTTTTAAACCTATTTGTAATGAAAAGGCTGATTTCCTTACACAGACAGACTCCATGTGTAGCTGATTTAACAAGACAACTTTTTATTTTAACTTTTTTCTTTTTCTTTCTCCTTCGTTCTTTAGTTTATTTTTGAAGGGAAACATTGCTCCCTGATGGCACCTGGGAATCTTTTTCTTCTTTTAGGATGAGAAAAGTAGGAGATGTTTCTTAACAGAAGTGCTGTTTTAAAGTTTTATCTTTTTTCCTAATTACCTTTAGAGTCTCTTTCCTTCCTCCCTCCCTTCCTTTTTTCCCTTCCTCCCTTCTTCCCTCCTTTCTTTTCTTTCTTTTTTATTCCTCTTCACCTAATATACTAGCCTCCCTCCAAAGCAGGTGGGGGTTGCTCCCCTGAAATATTCAGGCAATGACCTCAATCCTTCAACTTATTTTCAATATGTAGACTTGGATCAAATATATCTGAAAGATACAATTGTACCCTCATAAATCAGTCATTTATTTACATATACAAGGGCACATCAGTGTGGATCCAGTTGATACATCATGAAGCTTTTAAAGCTCTTATTAGGAGCAATCTGCAGTATTACCATCCATCCATTCCTGTTTTCAGTCTTAAGATTGCCTAACATTTTGATGAAACATTACAGTCTGTTCTTTGGCCCTATCTCCCTTTTGTTCCTAGATCGCTGTGTTCCTGCATCACAAACATTGTTCTAATACCTAGATCTTATAAAATATTCAAGATGCAAGCTGTTCACTTTACCTCAGAAAGACTCCACCTTCAGAATCATTGGTGCCTCTTCTGTCTTTACAAACAATTTTAACCTTTCACAAAAATTTCCTTGTAAGCATCCAGGAAAAAAATAATAATAATCCAAAGTAGAGTAGGCTTGGATAATAATGTTCAGTGTTTTCCAAATTGTGATGGAAACCTAGATTTTGAACTAATTGGATTATAATACTTTTAACATGACAGCGACCTTTAGGTTCTTACAACTTCAGTGGTAAAACTGAAGAATTCTTACAGTCCAAACAGTCACTAAAATGACACCAGGCACACAATCTAATGAAAATCCAACCATTCTTACTATGTCATCGTCCTTTATACTGACATTGTAGCAGATGAACACCCTCATGTCAGACACTGCATGAGTGATATTTAGAGACAAACAGAATTGAAACTCTTTACTTAAGAACTTGGTCACCTAAGAGTTGGCGGTCCAGGGCACATGTTCTCCCAGGGGCATTTATTGACTTTCGCAAGAAATACATCATTCAATTCTCTTGACTTCTGACAATATGTCATTTAACCTGACAACTGCAGATTTGTAACCATATCTGTGGGAGAAGTTACAAGTCTTGAAGCTTCTTCTAGTTTAAAACAGTTTTTAGATTTCAAAGAGACATGATACATTTGCATCCTCTGATTAAATAAGGTTATTGTCTCAAAAGCTGACCATGTAAATAATTCAAATTCATTCATCACTGTACAATAGATTTAATAAGCATAATAAACACTTGGAAGAAAACACTCAGGACCTTTGGTCTGCCCTTGTTCTCATTCCCCATTATCTCAGATTTCCCTGTGAACAGAAAGAGTAGTGCTACGTGGTTCTCTTCTATTCAAAATATGCAAAGTTGCTATTTACCAGTTTGCAATTTGCATGTCTCAAATCCTGCCAGAACACAGGGTGAGGGGCCTGGGGTGACTGGTGAATGTGCCAAAAGAGGACACCAGGGTGAAAATGGAAACCCTTATGAACAGATCTTCTCCACCCTGGGGTGTTGCAAAACAACCCTCACTGACTACTAAAGATTTTGTTAAAGACAACGAAAATATTGGGTATAAAAGGTTATGTGAAATCTCAGAGGACTAGTGTCTTTTTTCTTTGATTGCTGAGTTGCACAAGGGATGAGCAAGGTTTTTAAAACACATAAAAAGAGTAAAAGAGGAAGAAGGGTACAACTGTGACTGTTTACACTAGGAGAGTAATTTACCGCCTGGGTTTTGACCTTCCTGGACCTCTCTCTGTGTTTCTTTCTGCAGCTCTGTAAATCTAAACTTGCTGACCAGCATAAATCACTCTAGATTCTCAGTGTGTTCTGTAGTCATATATCCACAGTGGCCACACGTGAGACCACGCTGATGGTCAGATGTGTGTCATCTCTGAATATGGAGTCTTTACTTTTTCTACTTGAAAATATGCTCAATGTCTCATGATTTCAGATTATAAATAACATACACACAGGCATGCAATTTTTCATATTAATCAGTTTTGGAATGGAATTTTTCCCATAAAAATTGTAAGTGCCTGCCGGGTGTGTATATGGAGATATTCACAAAGGATCAAGTGTGCTCAGGAATATTTTTCTTTTTTGCATGTTGATGGCATTTTACTCACAATCCGCTTTCAAATCACCTTGTTCACAAAGTGTAATCCTGTTTCCACTGACTACATCTGCAGAGCATTAAGCTGGCCACAAAGAAGAATTAAACACCATGGTTAACAGAAGTGGAGACTGTATGAAATGATCCACTTTATTTAAAAGTATAATTTGGAGGAAGATAAGAGACAAAGTGTAGAGAGGAAGGTGGGAGAGAGAAGAGAGGGGTTTTTAAAAAAGGAGGGAAGCGGAGAATGAGAAAAAATTAAAGGAAGTTATCTTTTACTCCCCAAAGCCTGATAAGGTGAAGTGAAGTAGCTCTGAACAAAAACATCATCAATTAAGGGAAACCATTACTCATTTTGGCCCAGAAGTAAGGCGTTCTGATCAATCAAATAGGGTTAGGGTTAGCTGGGCTTCCTTGGGGGCTCAGACAGTGAAAAATCTGCCTACAAGGCAGGAGACCTGGGTTCGATCCCTGGGTTAGGAAGATCCCCTGGAGAAGGGAATGGCTACCCACTCCAGCATCCTTGCCTGGAGAATTCCATGGACAGAGGGGCCTGGCAGGCTACAATCCATGGAGTCACAGAGTCAGACATGAATTGAGCAACTAACACACCCAGACTATGGTTAGTTACCTTCCACTTCAGCAAACATTTGTTGAGACTCCTCCATACAAAGCCCAGGGTCTTAGCAGAAGCCTCTGAGCTCCATCTCTCTCAGTCCTGTTCTCCTGTCCTTCTCCACTTTTTGTTAGAAGCACATCTGATCTTGACACTGTCCTCTTTAGCTCCTGTAATGGCTTCTCAACGTTCTCTGAATAGATATGCCGGATGCCTTACCACATCTGGCAAGACCCTACAGGATCTTCCTTCTTAAGCTTTACCTAGTGTCCCTAGTTCCCTGCTGGGGCCATCGTGGCCTTTCAGACCCTCAAAAGCCCCATGTTCCTTCCATCCTGTGCCTCCTTTAGATCAACTTCTTCGATGCACCCACTCCCACTAGACACTGGGGCAGATACCCTACCCTTCTCCTCCCAAATAGTAGTAGCCTGTACTTGTCTGCAAGGCATGCATCACAGTTTATAATTATATGCACCTTAGTTCATCTTCCCCCAGAAGAAGACGACTTTGAAACAAGGATTCAAGAGCAAGTAATCTGTTTAGGAGATGAGCCTAGAAAATATCCATATGGGCAGTGAGACAGGGAAGGCAACCCATAAAGAGAATCTTGCTCAGCAAGTTACCACCAAGGGCACTAACTTTCATCCTGCTGAGAAACCAACACAGAACACACACATCAGTTATCCCACTGGAGGGCTGTGGGAGCCAGGGTATTTATCCATCAGTTCCTGTTAGTTACTGGTTGCCTGATGCTCTCAGCAGCACTGATCCCCTGGTACTACTTCTGGCTTGCAATGCTCCCAGGCAGAGAGGCAGATTCTGGCAGCTGCAAGTCAGCCAGATATACATGATGGAAGGCTCAAGGAATTATGGGTGAGGCATTGACAGTTCTGCTGGTTACATACATACATACCAAAGAATTGATGCTTTCGAACTGTGGTGCTGGAGAAGACTCTTGAGAGTCCCTTGGACTGCAAGGAGATAGAACCAGTCAAACCTAAAGGAAATCAACCCCGAATATTCATTGGAAAGATTGATGCTGAAGCTGAAGCTTCAATACTTTGACCACCTGATGCAAAAAGACAACGCACTGGAAAAGGCAAAAGGAGAAGAGCAGCAAAGGATGAGATGGTTAGATAGCATCATCAACTCAAAGGACATGAATTTAAGCAAACTCCAGGAGACAGTGGAGAATAC